TTGTTTAGACAATTAATTGAAATATAGAGACGTAAAAAGCAAAGAACATATACGATAAAATATTCATAAAATAATCAATTACCCTTAGAATGGTGAAATTGTATGGAATCAACTGCATAATGAGACTGCTAGTTGACATGATTTGTGCATTTCCCTAACAAAACAGAGCTATTAATGATAATCTTTAAATCATGATACCATTAATGACAGCCACCATTGAATTAAATCGTGAACAATCAAAAATAATCAAACATAATATTGAAATTCACAAGTATTCAAATATGAGAATCCTCCGCATTTTTTAAACATAAACATTTAATCAAAGCGATTGCGTTTCACCTTTGGATAGAGTGACTTAGTCTTAGTAATAATTCTCACTCTAAACGACTGTTTGCTCAGCTGATTATAATGTTCCTATAGTCTCGGGAAGAAACATAGGTTTATGAAATTGCAAAAGTTAATTGAGAAAAAATGTTTTTTACTAAATGTTTTGGTTTAATTTAACCTAAATGGGCGTCTTGGAAAGCATTATTGACGCCAGGATTTACGCTTGAAGTTTATTTCACAACCTATGTTGTTATTATATTAATTAACCTTTCATTAGGCTTTTCAATAACACTTGCGAATTAACCATATATTTCTTGGCCTTATTTTGTAATGAAATTTCCTACGTCGTCTTTCTTTCCATAAGCATATCACACTTGGTTCGAGCACCTTTCTTATGAGCCTTGCTACTAACTACGATATTATCAAGAGACACAAATGTAACTTTAATTTTCAATGTATGAGAAAAGTGGGTGTATAGACAATCGGAAAAATCATAAGGAAATAAATTAATAAAGCAAATGGTTTTGACTAATTGATACACTGAAAACATCTGATCGTCAGTAATTGCGGAATGCTTTAAATGACTTTGCCATCAGATTATGCGTGGTGGAACCATTGATCTACGAATTGAAATTCAATAATAAAGTTTAATAATGCTACATTATAACGAATGCTGTGTGATAACATCAAGAAATTGCGGTTTTCAGCCGTAATGTAATACGAAGCAACCTGTTGCGCCATTCTCTCTGAAACGATAAGTCAGAATCGATGATGCGGAACAGTAAACTCAAATAATCTCGGCCGAATTATTCTCAGATTTTGTATTGATAGACATTTAATGAAATACAATAAACTGAAATTGCAACCATTATTACTGCATGTATGTGTCGCAGTGTAGTTGGTCGGGATTGCCAAGTTGTCATGCATGGTTGGCTACGGTTAATTGGAATCCTAAGAAGACATTTCTAATTGATTTCTTTTTTTACTAAAAGAAAAATCATAGCGTGCACAGATGAATCCAATAACCTTGAACATGTTTAATAGAATATTTCATTAAGTAGAAAAAGAGGAGAAGTTAGATTGATATGTTATGATTTTTATTAGTTTTTGAGCTGTTGTCTATCAGATAATATGTACACACACCTGAGGCATGTGCAAATACCACAATAACTTTAACACAATAATTCTGGAACAAATTAATTTTCTGTATTTGTACTTCTATGTTGTATGTCGAACAGCATCGTACCAGACACCATGGAATATGTAGCTGAGAAAACCCAAATGATTGTATGATCAGCAGGTTTGTCAAATGCTATGCCTAAGGTTGTGCTAATATAAGTGACATAATTCTATTTTGAGCGTCTATGCCTTGTATCTTGACACATAAAATCTGGGGGTGGGGCAGGTTCCATTTACTGTCTTAATACAATTATAAGACATTTAGTGTGTCTAGCATTTAATCATGATAGAGTGATCAAATTAAATCGGTTTCCCTAAGCTCTTCAGTGGTATCATTAGTTTTAGTATTCCTTTACATTAAGCAGCATACAATAAAAAAAGCAAATAACACTCAGCACCATTTTGCGATGTATCAATTCAATAGCTAACATATAGCTGTCATTTATCAAATACACTGATGTTGTCTAAGCATTTCCGGGAACACGTTGCTTTCCCATCTAATCCAAACCAATTTTAAAACATTCTTTGATTTATCACATGTAGAATTCTCATTAGAAATGGGCGCCATATTGGATTCAGCTTTTTTAAAATACAACATATTGAAATCAGGTTAGACGTTTGTAGAAGTTTGAATTTAAAAGAATGCGTTGCAGTTCTCAGGATCTATAAAAAGTTGATCTAACCTAGGGCCAGAGATCGGAGATTTTACAGTTGGATTTCCAGTTTTGAAATGTCTTAAAAGTGAATATTTCTCAGTAAAAATATATGCAAAGGTACAGTAGTTGTTTCTAAATAAGGTCCCAAATATTATCACTGTCACTGACAGATATAGCATGACCACATCCCAGTATGGCGTTCGAATAACAAAGTACAGTAAAACCTGTGTGTATTAAACATTTTTTTGCTGTGAAAATCACTACAGAGAGGGTAATTTAACAGAAGTCGATAGGGTATGTACTGAGGAGGGGTGTCCACTAAAGATAGGTGTTCGCTAGAGAGAGTTGTACACTAAGACAGATTTTACTGTATTTGTATCTGAGACGTCTTTCATGTAGACATCTCGGCCATTGCATCTTAGACGTGTAGTCCAGCAGTCTTCAGTCATGGCATGTCATAGCATTTCAGGCTACCAAATAACACAGTATCTTAGACATCCCTGTCCGGGGTACTGTATATTGCCTAGATGCACTGGTTTCTTAACATTTGAACTATAATTAATTTAGTGGTTTATAGTTTAATGGCTTTCTAAGAGATGCCGAGTTTTATAGGTTTTTGAGAAGAACGAGTTTGTATTCAGACTAGAACTTTAAGATATAATTTATACCCCCCCCCCAAATGTGTGGCAACATTATGGCACTAAATTAGAATGCAATAAGTTCGAATTATTTCCTCAATTGAATAAGCTTGGAGATTTCTGACATAGATTGGTCCGATGGAACGTGTTGCCAATCTTTTGAAAGAGTACTTCTGGGACAACTCTCGTATACACTTACTTGAGAAAACACAGGTACAAAGCTATGTTTCTTAAATCCTTGTTTATTTTTAACTCGACTAAAATTAGTAATTTGGGAAATCAAAATATGTAGTATGATTACATTTCATCTTGGAAATACATCCAGGTTATAATACATGTACATAAAATTCTTTAAAACATTTTGAAGAAATCGTTATTATTTCATCAAATAAATGTCACTGCTAATCTTTTTATAAAAGTATAATTTTTTATAGATGGTATTCTCATATTTTGGAACCCTAGTTATGTGATACTTTTATACCACATTATTAAGGTGAACCAAATAAATAGCCCTTCAAATCAAATCATACATGTAAAAGGTCCAAGTGAATCACTCCCCTCCATAAGTTTGGCAACCTTAGTCCCCCCATTGAACTACGTGTTAAAGCCTCTTTACGTTTGAATTTTTATTTACTTAACCGGCGATGAAATAACTTATACTATTGATGGAAACGTAACTTGACTTTATTTCCAATACCTCCAAATTTTATCAATTTTTCCCTCAATTACAATGGGTCGAAAATTGATGATAAATGTGATGAATTTTTGAAAATTCATTCCCATGTAATCCAATGGGAAATGGAAGGTTCGGGGCAAATCAGAAATCAGGATATCTTTTCAGTAAAAGATTCAGCAAAAATATTTTTATATAGAAAACTGAATTGTCTAGCATTTTTGTACACTAAGTGTTTAGGCTATTTGATGAATACTTAAGTTACAGCGCTTCAAAGTCATTTTTGAAAATCATTTTTCGCCTCCTGTGTTATTTCAATGGGAGAGGTTTTTTGAAAAACAATTTTGACTTTAAAGCCCTATAACTTTGTTGAACCTGAAGAAATTTATCAATTTTTTTGTTAAATAAAGTTAGCAATTGCAATTGCCTGCCTAACTCGTATTTTTGCAAGGACTCAGATGGATGGATATTCTGTTATATGACTTCCGACAAACCTACCGTTTCCCATTGGTTTACATGGGAATGCAGATTTTCGAAAATTCATCAAATTTATCATCAGTCTTCGACTTATTTTCATCGCAGGTTAAATAAATAAAAATTCAAAGGTAGCGAGGCTTTAACACGTAGTTCAATGGGGAGCTAAGGTTGCCAAACTTATGGAGGGGAGTGTATTCTACTTGCCCTACCTAGAACCGTCCAAAATTAATACGCACCAAGATTTTTTGTTTAATCTTCAAACAGAAACATACGATATACTCTATGAAATGTATATTTTATAGTAAAGATCTTCTTCTTCCGCCCATCAATATAGCACAATCTTTTACAATAGTGACAAATACAGATTTAACATTCAATCATAAAAAATCATTACCATCTCTTGGCTAATTTGTAAAATAGATGTATTATTGGCTGTGAAAATGAAATCAAAACATACATGTCATGTACGTAATGTCTACAGACTAGATTCACTCATTGATGTTAATTAATTCAACTATACAGTAAAACAATGAATAAATTACAGCAAATAAAATATATAGGTACATAGCTTTATGTACATTACGTTTCATTGGTATTCACCTATGCAGGAATGACCGTGGCATATTTGCATTTGTTTAGAATACGTTTTATAAATTATTGCACGATTCAGCCTTATCATTAATCTCTATATATAAATAAATTAGTATTAATTCTATAATACAAGATTGGGCTAGAATATATTTACAGTATGTACATTAGATCGTTATTTAAATTGCATGATTGATGACGTAACGTTTTATTTGCGCCTTAGTGGTGAATATCGCAAATTGTTTCAACGATCGCTATGACGTCATGTCTATGCGAATAATATCGTATACGTGTGCACAGTGACGTCGTAAACGTATGTGTATGATATAACATAATTTAATTGATATAAATAAAAAGTATCTACATAAGCCCTTTTCAGATTATACATAATACCTCTAAATGTACCAAAAATAACATTTCATGAAACAACGGCATTATAAATATTACTTATGAATTGTTAAACGCCTGATAAAAATGACGTCATGTCAATATGGTATTTAAATATATACAGCGACGTCTCATTGGTATATTCTCATAATAACTTTATAAAAATGACGTCATTACTATGCGTTGTGATTATATACAGTTATTTCTCACACTTGAACGTGATCAATTGACGTCATGGTATTTGGCAGTGACGTCAGTTGTGGTTGCTTTAACACTGTGGCCGCTGCAAGTTTATTGTCATTATGCTGTGTTTCAATATGTCTCCTCAAGTCCACCTTTCGCTGAAAGCTGCGTGCACAAGTAGTGCAGTTGAAAGGTTTATACCCTGTATGCTTCCGCGAGTGTGTGATTAGGTTTGAAGATTGACTAAATGCTTTTCCACATTCTAAACATTTGTGCGGCTTTTCACCTGTAATTCAAATCATTAGCGATTATAAGCGGGTATACAATAGAAGAAACGAGTCATTCTATTATGTAATGAACATATATAAATATTACATATATATAGACATTATTTTCAAAAACGACATATTGTAAATGACAAAGTATTTAAAAATAGCATAGGTTTAATGAAAACAGAATGTATCATCAACTAATGACAAAGTGTTTAAAATATCCTAGTCGAAAACGGAATGGATCAATCATGATTTATCTAAACTAAGGCTGGCTGAGGGTACATCCCCCATGATGTAAACTTAGGAGACAGTCATTTGCAACTTCTAAATGTAACACAAAGCATCTGTGACATGACGCTTTTTTAAATTAATGCAAATTTTCCCAGCAAGTGAGGGTTTCAGCGATATGGGCTCTCGAAACCATGAATACCTCTGAAGATCAGATATCAATAAATTGGTATTTTGATTAGCTACATGTTATTTGAGGTTAAAATAGAAGCTGTTGTTTTTGATCGATGATGCCGATGCTACGCCTTATATTAGACTCCAAATGATGCTTAATCACAACAATTTTACATTCATTTTACGTGATTAAAAAATAATGTGAATTAAAATTAAATGATTTACGGGGTGAAGAATCACGGCTTTATTATGCAATTAAACACGAAAAGTGTAATTAAGACTGATATCAGTGGCGAATTTCTTTAATTATTCATCACAAGCGTCTGCAAACCGAGAATCGTTCAAATATTTATTGCGATACAGACCCAGATGAATTGTCATAGAATGAAAGATTTAATTGATATTTCCGATTGCCAATTGCCTTGTTGTTCAGTATCTTGGAAAACATCGCCATGTGATCAATATCTGTGTGATATCTTGTGATTTTGAGTAGTATTTTGATACAAATATATGACCTATATTATAAATCAGGATTTAGGATATTGTACGATTCTTGGATGAGCTCAAATTTTTGTCCTATGTTATTTGCCACACAAGAGTTGATTGTTTTCTAAATGTTGCCATTGTTGTCCATCTGCGATTTGCCTATATAGTTATATTATGTACCAATTTTATAATCTATCTCGGCGATTCTTTTCATATTCCAAATTGTTTTGATAAACTTTGCTTTGACTGTTGCTTGACTGTTGCTTCTATCTTAAATTTCTTAAGCCTAGGCCTCGTTTTGTATCTGTGTTCTTAAAATGTTGCCTTTTGTGCAATGAGGTTGAACTGATTCGCAAATAGGATTACTAAAATAAACATATTCTTGTATAATTTAAATACTCCATCAACGCATGCTTAACAAATCATTCCTACCTGTATGTATGTACGTGTGTTTCTTCATGTCTGATTTTTGGTGAAACCGTTTGCCGCAGTACTGACACGGGTATGGCCTCGTATCACTGTGGATGAGCAGATGAGTCGAGAGAGTAGAGGAGCGTTTGAACGTCTTCCCACATTGCTTACAAATGAAAGTCTTCTCTTGGGAATGCACGGTCCTGTGTTGACTCAAACTGACCGAATGACCGAATGTTTTTGAGCATATATCACATGCAAATGGCCGTTTCCCGCTATGAGAACGTCGAACATGGACTTCTAAGCCGTGAGGAGTACTGAAAAGTTTGTTGCATTTCATGCATTTGTATGTGCCGTGAACGCCAGAAAACGTACTCCCGGGAACTATTTCTTCGCTCTCTGGGACGTAATTCTGATCAAGACCGTCTGATTGTAAAATTCGTCCCTCCAGAGATTCTCGGCGGATCCTTAACATGCTTCCCTCTAGCGCTTCTTGGTAGAGTTGCGCCGATGTTCGTGCCATGAACGCCTTCTTCGCTTGCTCGTAGTTGAGACGCGCTAGATGGGCTCTGTAGAGGTCCGTGTAGCTTATTTTTCCTTCTGTTTCCAACAACATCTCCTTTATCTGTTGGCCTGAAAGAACAAGGAATAGTTTAAAGGGTTTTTCCATTTTTTCCGTTTTTTAAGTAGATATTTTGACATTGCGAGTATCACATAAATCATTAAGTTTAGGTTTGGTATCCTCTAATTTCATTTAAGAACTGAATGAAATAGGCTACTATAGTAAATGAAAAATGCTAAGATATTGGTATTTCAAGACCAAAATTGACAATATGCAATTTGTTCAATCTCATATTAAAGTTCATTTCTTGATAAGATTTTTAACGGACTTTTTTTTCAAGGTGCCCAAGGCGTTCGATTTACATGCCGTAAATCAGGACATTGAACTGCACGGCAAATCTAAACTGAGGATTTAATTTGCAGCCCATGTCTGCAGCAAATCACTTCACAGATTGAGAATATACGAACCATGTTATATTGAAGTGCTATCATCCTGAATTATTCATTGGACAAAACAAAACATTTTGCAATTAAATTTGCGTCGAGAGTGAATGCAAATAATTACCGCTGTATTACGTAACAATGGTACTGCCCCTGGATGAATGGGCATGCGAGTATGATATGCAATTTAGCTCATTTTCGCATTTAGGATATTGATTAGGTAAAATGTGTACAAAAAGTCTAGTTTAAAACGAGGTGGTAACGATATAAAATAGTATACCGTATAATGTTTTATATCGTTACCACCTCGTTTTAATATAAATATATTGGGAAATCATTGGACCCAAGGGAGCTTTTCAAGTTTGTTTTACTTGTTTTTTAATCAAATATTGCTCATTAAATGGCTAGATAAACTGTGATTTTTCATGCTCTTTGAACACAGTAGACAATGTTTGAGATAATTGTATTGGATTTTTAGCATATATATCTATGCTCTAACAACACCTATCTTAAAATTGCCCTTTGTATTTTTACTTTCCACTATGTTCCTAAATGTGCTGATCTGGCTGGATTGTTTTGTACTTTAATTTATATTCATTTAACAGCAAGTACACCATACTAATATGATTATTTCAATACCTACTGAAATTCAGGTTTTACACGACGCCATTTATTTTGCCTGCCAACTACGCCATTTTAGTTGGGGGTAGGCAATTGTTTCAAGTGCGCTTTACAACAGATTTCTAGTCTACATTATTAATATTGGTAGGGTTCTCTGGAGAAATCATGTAAATATCACCAGATTTTCTATCTAGGCAAACCGGGGGATTATAACAGACTTAATTTGCCTTAATTAGTAAATCAATGTTCGAAAGGACCACACTCCAGTCTCCATGTAATAAATTCAAAGTATAAAGTCAAACCAACTTCTCGTGCCAACTTCTGGTGATTTTACACTCATGTATTAACATTCAATACCTCATAAATATTATCGTATTTTTCAAATCAGCCTAGCATTTGCACAAATATATTTGACTATACAAATCGATCTGCCGATGTATTCAAAAATATTCTGGGAAGCATTATTGTAAAATAAAAAATAAGCAAGATATGTCCAACTTTGTAAAATATCTTAGTAATATATAATAGCAAAATGATACATACATCTTTTATTGGCATTATTTTGTTAATTTACCATTTCAACTAATTCATACCGAGAGCGCATTGTGATAATGACATCCGAATGACAACACTATACTTCTAACATGAAAAACAGATGTAGGAGAGTTATCACAGTGTTTCAAATCATCTTTAATTAAATTACATCTAATTCGTAAGATGTAACTATGTAAATGCTGATGGTTTGATAACCTTATGTTCTGATTTTTCCATCTGCATTGTCCTTGATTAGATTATACTTGTAAGAAATCAATGACGTTGTTCTGGATATGATCAGTGTCGAAGTTATGTAACTTCAATCCGCATCGGCTGAATATAAACGATGCTGGTCTATTAACAAATCAAAATTCTATATAATCTTTCTATGTCGTATAATTTAAGAGGCCTGTTTTTAATTAGAAAAATTACGTGTGTATAGATCGTCATCTGAATATCTCATTGCTGGAAAAATCATTGAAAACATATTGATATTATTCTAAAATTCACGCTAAGAAATAATTACGTTTTGTTCTGGTACATTTGACGTGTTTCATTGCAGTTGGATAGCTTTCTACATAAAATATTACGTTCCATGCAGAAAAATGCTTTTAAAATCAAAATTAAGTTCTAATAAATGCATACAATCACAACTAACTCTTACTAAGTATACAATCACAAACCCATTAATAAACAATTCAACTCCAGTGAAGCATTAAATCACGATAAAGAAACACATTTTAAGAGATAGAAAAAATATTATATTTATGCAAATCTAACTTACTGTAGGGCGATAAAGTTGGGGCTTTGTGCGAAGAGAAATCATCTAGCCATGGCCGGACTATTTGTGGTCGCGTATGTGTACTAGCTGGCGACGTGGGTAATGCGGTGAAGAATGGTGACAATGTCGGGGGAATGATGGACGTTTTCCCGGAGCCAGTTGGTGATAATCCTGGTGGAGAAGATGCCGCAATAGGACTGGTTGAACATGTTTGGCCCTCTGTATTGCGTTCGTCTGAAAATAGAAATCGTATAATCAAATGTTAAATCTTTAAGTCGTTCGAAACGTTTGCAAAAAATCAAAATTGTTTTCGGACCAGTGTCACAATGCTAGAATCGAGCTCAAATAAGTGAAGTGTTAAAATGAACAAATGATATATGTAAATAACTGAATAAACATATAAATATATAGTATTATTATTGGTACACTAATAAGTGTCAAATAAAGGAAGATGTGTAGAAATTATACTTGTTTAATTTGTAAAGGTGAATAAAAGGGCTTGTTGCAGTTTTTATTGCTGAGATTACGAGATAACAAATGAACAATATCTAGCAATTTTTAATTCAAACTGATCCATCTATATTGATGTAGAAAGTAACAATTATCTAAAACTATATATCAGTTCATGGAATTGCAGTCTGATACAATAAGGAAATTAGAGACGGAAATATGTCATTTAATAATTGTCGAGGTTAATTATCTCTTGATTTGCTTGATACTTTGCTCTATTATCAATTGCTTTCAGTTTTCATCGATCTTTTCAGACCCTTCCGAAAACATTCCATAACCTATATTATCTTCTTCTAAAAAAGCAGCTAGGACATTTAATTCTAATGGATAAGTAACCCGTGTATAAGCTAAATATAACCTATTTACAATTTCGAATAATATACACGAATATACATGAAAACAGAAAATGTGAGGCGTATTTAAATATAACTGCAACTATTTTGCACGGAGCGATCAGCATAGTTGCAAACACTGGCTCAAGCACTATTAAGTGTTTAATCGAGAAATACACGGAACTTTGTCATTTGTTCACGGTGTGAATAACCAGACTATCGGATACGCTTTCTCCTGTTAACATCTTGAAACAATAATAGAAATCAAATCCCATCATTTAGTTCTTAAAGGCATAATGATAACATTGTCAAAGAGATGGAATTCCATGTTTAAATGTTGACTTTTAGTAATTAGAGAGTGAATTCAAATAAAGTGGACGTCTATTCAGTTGGGTGTGTTTTTAATTCTCACGATTTGTTGATCTGTTTCTTTTCACATGATTTATTAAGTATATAATATAATTAAGACATGCCCACTGGCTGTCAAAATATGGATGCACACAAAGTACAACATATGATAGGCCCAAAACGTTTGAGCCACTAACAAAACAAGGCGGGCAAAAGGACGATAATAATACTCGAGTCACAAAATACCATTTAATGTTACAGTCGAAAAATAAAAATATGAACTGTTTCATTTATAAATCACATACAAATATATTTTCTTTTTTGAAAACTATAGTATAGTACTTGGTTCGGTGAAGTCACCGCTATCAGATAGACACATTTATGTCAAAGGATATCGCAGTTGACAATGTGATCAATCGCTTCTAATTTGATCATAGAACATGGAATCATTCCTCTTGAGAAATCTCAAGCGTAAAACGAAATTTCCTACGTGTAAACAGAACTATCGCAGTACTATCTAGTATCGTTGTAGATTGTACTATTTTTTGTTCGTTATATTTTGACAGTTTAAGTGATAACTACATCATATAAAAATAAGTGTTTACATCATGTCAAGATATTCACTTTTATCTATTTTCATGGAAACAATGATATACTCTCTTAGCTTTATTGAATATTTGGTTTAAAGATAAAAAATATCATTATTATCATTCAGAATGTATTTACACTACTATGGTCATTCATAAAATTACTTTTTTTTATGAAAAATCATGATTTTATTAAGAGAAATAATTATAGGGTAATTCGATAATTATAGCTTATAATACAAGTATACATAATTGAAGTTGTAATTGTTTAATTGAAGATTTATTTCAATATATTAATACACATCGATAGTTTCATAGTTTTAAAGTATACAATTATACTATCTCTTTAAAAACAATTGTATTTGTTTAAGTTCTAAATACCGAGTAGTAAAAGTTTTAATCGAGGTCCAATGCAATATATATTTTATTGTGTATTAATAAAATCAATGAATGGATATAGAATGACATGTCTAAAATTGAAAGAAAAATAACGAAAACGAATTTAGACGTTTTGAAGTTGACATTTCCATGATTTCTTTTTGCTTTTACAAGGATTGAAATCATGATTTTCTCTTTCAAACAAAACTGCTTTAATTATGTTTAATATATCTTAATTTGCAATAAAAGCACTACTTTGTAAAATTAAATGTTTTGATAATATGCATTTACGTTTTTAAAAAGAGGAAACCAATAAAATAAATATCAGTAGCATGAAGAAAAACAGCCTTTGAAGTTCAGTTATAATCTAATCAAGATATGAGTTGTCTCCTTGTTGGGCGTAAGTCAGTTTTAATTTTTTTTCAGTTTACGTACCTTTTGCTTGTCTTGGAGTAACAATTCGAAAAGCACTCCCTGCCGTTGGTTGCATTTCTTCCGTAGAATTATTTGCATCACTTTTCGCATCACCGTTTCCACCCATTTCTTCGTCTTTTATATGTTTTATCAAAAATGACTTAGGCATATTTCACTAATCCGTTTCTTAATGCCGTGTAATAAATGTTAAAAATGGGTCTAAAAATATGTTTATATTTCTGGCATTCCTTAGGGCTGCAGCTTCTATAGTGCTGGTTCCTCATGCAGTGTCGTGTCGCGTGTAGGTCGTGTGCCAGACGTCTGTAAACCTCAGCTTCCAAAATCTCGCTTTGATTGCCGTTGGTTGCGCCTTGGTCTTTATACCATATCGCTTATAACATAACTCTATAGGCTGAGTGGCAGAAAGCAAACAATATGTCATTATAATTATGTTAACATTTCACTTGAACAACCACGTGGTTTGGATGATAGCATAGAGCTATCTTCTCTTGGGATTACAATTGCGCATGCGCAATCCTGGGATCGAGCAGGTGGTATAGAATGTAGAAACTGTTTCAATATTCTGATTGGTTGTCTTCTCCCGAAGGAACAGGTTCCAAACACCAATTGATTTACGCGAAATTAGCGTTTTATCGTAATATGAACCGTAGTTAATATAATTTTCCAATTATAAGAATGGGATGACAAAGCGGCTGGATGGTTTTAGACCACAACATCAAGTTTTGTAGACCGAACATTGGGACTTATTAAAGTTGCTCATTTTAGTCATTCATTCCGCTGATATTAAAAGTAGTCGCGGGAAACATATACCACAAATGCAGCTTAAAACTCAAATAACATCAAAAACAATTAGTCAAAATCTTAACTTTTTAAAGGTTTTATAGGCTAGATATTTGAAAATATCAAAACTTAATGTTACATTTTGCTTTTGGTAATGTCATATACTTAATAATTTACGAGTGTCACTTTTAATAGTTGGTTATGACAAACTTTTATTGTTTACATTCTCCATTATTATTGCATAACATTCGATTGGTAAGGTTGTAAACAATTCAAACATAGGTATTCAATTTACAGCGTCCTTAGGACATATATTGACAGTTCCGAATATACATGGATTTGTGATTTAGGGATTTGTTCACGGAAGGTCAATATGTAAATGACATGAAACTTGCTTTGAAATATTGTGTAACGTCAATATTAAAGGAAAGTATGACTTGGATCAGCTGCTGGGGTTTCTGTTTCCTCTGACCACATGAGACAATTGAAATCTGACTTCGGCTCGCGTCACCATATTGAGCCGACGATAATCAATGCAAGATCGAGGGAAGCCTTTCAGATAATCTAAACCCGATAGATTTAACTTATATTCACGTAATTATCAATATTCCTCAGCTTGTTGATTCAGCCAGTTTCACGGAGTAGAAAATGCATTTGGTTGCGAATATTGTAAATGCTTCTACCATAAAACAAACAGCAGAAATGTTAGATAAACAAATCCTAACTATAAATGGGCAGGTGATTGTACAAACAGATTGACAGAGGACGCATTGGGATTCATTAACTCCGCAAATAATAAAATTTAATGTATTTTATTGTTTCCTAAATGCCAACTATAATGTCAGTGAATACGGATTTGCAATTGTTATATGTCGTTGCCTTTCCAAAACTATGAGATTAATTCTATTATATTTTGAAGAGTAGAAAAAGAAGTAAAAATAACAATTGAATCTTTGAAAATACCATAGATATTAGTTTAATAAATATCATAAATAATTAGTTGATTTCCGCAAATGTAAAATGCAACAAAGTCAACCCTAACGCACTGAACGCAAGAGTGCGTAACATGGTCAACACTCAAGTCACGAACAGACGGAAACTTCAATGTGTAGTTCCAGTTCCAGCTTCTCAGATTGCCATCCCGAAATATACAATTCCCTCAATACCTCCCCGTGATTCGAATATCATATTTTAGTAAATGCTTGAGGCATTCAATGATTGTACGTTTGACATTGGAATATGCAAATACTTATTAAAACCTCGAACTTTTTGTTTTGCAACTGTTTGTGCTCGTGAATTTCTAACCGGGATAGAGTATATTTTTTCCTACTTTACTAAACAATGCCGCGTAGCTACGTATACGTTCCCTCACTGTATAATGATAATATTCTCATCTGCTGCAAGTTTAAGGTATTGTTTCATGCGTTTGACCCCCTCCCAGAGATCCCCGCTTGGAATAAGATGGCTCACTGCAGACAAAACATCCTTAAATATTTTATGTGTTCATTAATTATATGTTTGACAACGGCATTGTCAATTTTTTAAGGATAATCAGCCCCACAATACTTTTTTTGTTTATTATTGGGAAGGTTTGTTTTTGTTTTCTGGTGATTATACTGGCAGCGCTCTACAGTGTTCGTCTTATTTCACATTTACAATGTAGCTGCAACAGTTCCCCACCTACCTGCATATACACTGGTTAATTAAATTACACATCACCTTTAATTACTGCTCTCCTTTATGAGCTCTCATCAACCCATTCAACGCGGATGACAGTAATTAAAATCAATGCCTGATCAAAGAAAATAATAGAAAATTATGTTTTGAGATTCAGCTGCGCCATTCTCAGTGTGCTTCTGGACCGCACCCTACGCAACAAGTAAACGTGCAGCCCTGATAAACCAGAGTGCGTACGACACTATATAAACACAATTAAATATTCGTATGTGCTATATTAAAGTAAAATACGATCGACCAAGCATTGCTACTTTTTATTTATTGTTTTGGTATATATGTTCACATGTAAGATGACGTTAACGGAAACGACAGGAGATAATATGTTGGCTGTAAGGGACTATCAAAAAGAGGCTGGCTGATTGTTCCAGTCAATAAATTAGATAGAAATCAAAACGCGACAAATTATGTTCAAATGTGGTCAATCATTTCCTTCTTCAGGTGGTTTTTCTCCTTTAAATTATGATTGCGATAGGGGTTGTTAAAGATGCAGACCAACTTTGATTATATTATTTTTATTTCAATTATCTGTCTGTAACATGATTTCTTTCTCGAATTTCCTCTTCTAAATTTGCCCGAGAAACGTGAAGTTTTGTGGCCAACATTTAGATTTACAGCGTAAATACCTGACCAGGGTTCGGCGCACTTTCATTAAAATAACCAATTCATCAGCAGCGCACCCATGTCGTATTCTCTAACAATAATATATGAACCTGATCATCTCTTAATTAAATCACACACCGTGAAAACACATGTTTGAAATGAATCGGTCTTAATTCCCTCCTCGGCAATATAATTATGATTTAAACTCATCTGTCCACCTCTGACCTCTCTCAAGCTGCAATGATTCTTTCTTATGCTTAATTTAATACCATCTTTTTTTCCTTAGATATATGATTGAATAAATCTTATATGGAAAATAATCGTACATCCAAGTGTCAGTTCCTGACCTCACTCCCCGAAGGAGCTGTTGTTCCAGTTTTGTGATATGTGGAACAGAGGGAGAAAATGGATTTTTGTTAGATAAACTGAAAACTATGGAAAATACAATATTGACGTTTCTCCCGCAGGGACACAAGATAATCGGACAGTTCCATTTGTTGATGAGGTCTATAACATCAATGAACCACATCACCAAAAACAAAATACGTTAAGATAAAAGTATCATGCCGAATATGTTTAGAAATAAAAAGGAGAAAACCATCCCATACATGATAGTTATCGTATCCAGAACTGAATATAGTTATTGGATGATATATATGAGTCACATAGTCTGCTTATTCATTGATAAACTATTATTAAAATCATGGTATTCAATATACAGTTCTAAAACAGTTTTATTTCTAGATGCATATTATATGCGGCATTTGATGATGTTTGCAAAGCTGCTGGTAATATACATACTGAATGAGTAGATGTGAGCTGGATATCATAGATTTGTTTCACGAAGAACAATATTAACTCATATTTTATATACATGTACATTCATATTCCTTTCTGTTGATTGTGTATTTTCAAATCACGATATTTGTATATGTGACAATAATTGGAATCCATGATCATTTAGTATGAATTGTACCGAGTTGAAAGTATATATGAAAATATAAACATTGATTTAATTTCAACAGATTTGTTATGTAGATGCAATTTTTATTAAATGCAATTTTATAATACATTTAGCCATATTCTGGACTGAATATTTTGTGTAGAAAGATGCATAACTAGTACTTAAAATATAATAGCAGGAAAGGACGAATTGGGGATATTATGCATTATGTATTTTAATTATTTATGTAGCAACACAAGGGGAACCTCGTATAAGACCATGGTCTATATAAAGAGATATAATCTTGTAATCGGATGCCCTTAAACCGAGAAGCCCTATATTCAGAACATTGAGAGTTGATTTCACTATTTTACAATTACCTCTGCCCATTTTTTACAATTACCTCTACTCGGTACATATCAAACATTAATAAATAGTTACATACAAAGATGTGATTATGACCAAATGGTGAGACGTATTCCTTGGGAAAGCAACAGGTCGATGCTCTATCTCTCTTGGTCTTATCTTAGACTGATTTGGCAAATCATGGCACACTCTCAACACCCATTGCCCTTTAACCACATACTTATGTTCCACTTTCAACTTAACAAACAATACTTACTATTTACTTTATCATTAAATTGATTTACATATGATTAAGTCGAAGAAATGTGTTGAAAATTATACCTGGCCTCATAGGGCTAATTATTTGTTTTTCTCCATCTTCCTTGTTGTGAAGTTGTTAATTTTTGGAAGGCTTATCTTTGATTGGGAGGTAAGTTGGAATTGAAATCAATAATTATCATTTATATATAGATGCTATAAGATAAGACTTAAAGTACTTAGTTTATACAACTTTGACATCTAAAGTACATCCCTGGTGGACCCCCTTGCACGATGATGCAGCACGATTTGCTATAAATCATTTAGTGGTTATTTCATTAATATACACTTCGAATGGTGACGAAATGTGTATGCTATCACATATATGAGACTGTTGCAAACAAAATAAGATATTTTGTATTTATGATATAGGTCATGGTGACTTAGTTTGACACAGATTGAGCCTTTGCTAAATATGTGAAGGTTATATGTAAAGGTTATACGTACTGGTTTTTTTTTAGATACAGGGTTTATTCACTCCGATCGTTAAGTATGTGGAGGACATATATTTCCCGAAGTTTAAAAATGTATAATCCTCTCGGCCCTGTGAGATAAACATATTTTCCTTGGTATTAACCCCATATCCAAAACCCCTCAAGCCATAACCGTCTTAAACTCTTGCCTTACTATTACATGTTATATACCTTATGTACCTTATATGTTATATACCTCTTCGATAGCATAATACTATTGTAC